TGCCCAGCTGCTGGCAGTGCCTGCACAGCCTGGCACAGCCCTCCCTGGCCACCCAGTCTCTGTGCTGAGACCGCGCCAACTCGCTTCACCCAGGGCGAGCACTGACAGCTCCCTGCCGAGCATGGCTGGACTGGGCAGCCCAGCAGCCTCTTGGCTTTGCCTGCTGGAATGAGCCGAGGAGGAGGGCTGGTGCCCCAGCAGGGAGGAGGGGCTGTCACCAATCTCCTGGTGACACTTGGCCAACTCACTGCTTCCCGTCTCTGCTGTTCCCTTCCAGCTGCCTGGGCTGGAGCTGTCTGGCTGGAGATGGCTGTCCTGTGAGCCATGTGTCCCCAGGCAGTCATCAGGGGCAGGGGACACCGTGGATGTGAAGGGGACAAGTGTGGCAGCTCAGGGCTCTTTGTGGAGTGAAAGAAGGTGGATGACAGTGGTGGGATGGGGGGTGGCACCATAGAACAGTGTGCAAGAGGGAAACTGAGGCACAGTGGCTGCACCCAGGGGCAGGTGGCCCTGTCCAGATCTTTGGAGAGCCGTGCCCGGGTGGAGTGGGCACAGCACTTCCCGGGAGGGCGGCAGAGCTGATGGCAACCAAGATAATGCTGAAAATACGCCAGTGGCTTTGTTGCTGGTGACAATGGCCCGCAGTATTTTTAGCTGTTGTGGCCTTAGCTACAGAACAGCCTCCCCGGTCCAGCTGCTGCCCCATCCCGCCCTCGGTGTCACCGGGTCCCCATGGCCCCCAGGGCTGCTTCCCGGCGCTGTGGAAACCGTAACGTTAGAAACTAAACACAAACAGCTCACCTGCTGCCACCCCCGGCTGAGTCACGGCACTGCCTGCTCCCCTTGCCCCTGCCTCCCCCTCCCTCCTGCCCACCCCCAGCCCCTAAAGCAGGAGCTGGTGCCCCCCAAGCCAGCCCCACTCTCACTCATGGGGTAGTGCCTTTCCCAGGGCAAAGCATGGGGTTGGCTTCATGTGCCCCCATTCAGGACTTCGAAAGATAGGGATTTGTGGAGAAAACTCTGCAAGGTGGCATCCCCAACCCCATGACATTGGGACATCCCCACTGCAGAGTCAGACCCTGAGCAGTCCCCAGCATGACCCCAGACCTCAGGGACAAAAAGTCAGACAGGAACAGGCAGAGGCAGGAGCTGCTTTGCACTCTGTGTCAAGGGCCAGGCTGGGGTGCTGTTTCTGGCCCCCTTGTCCCATTCTCACTAAGGAGAATGGGGTGTAGGAGCAGGAGGAGTTTTGGGGTCAGTGGTGGTGGGACATGGGGAATGAGGCAGCTCTGCCTGACCCTCAGGGGCAGTGTCAGCACCCAGCTCCTGACAGACCCAGGATATTAATGCTCTCATTTCACTTTGGGGGGGAACAAGGGATGAGTGGGACCCCATCCAATCTCCCAGGGGTGATGGGGTGTCCCACTGCTGCGCTGTCCCAGCTCCCATGGGAATTTTGGGCTGTTTTTCTGTGGAGCTGGCAGGCTGCTGTAGGGCAGATGTGGCTGTGGCCCCATAGTCAAAGCCACACACATGGCATGGCTGCCCTCCTTCCATGACCCACATCTCAGGGCCCTCAGCACCCACGGGTGTTCAAGGGCTGGGAGAGCAGCTGCACCACCTCTTCCCTAAAATAAAGCCGTGGCCAGCAGGGAGGCTGGGGTGGGCGGCCGTGGCTGTGACTATGTTAGGATGTTCTGGGGCCGAGGGCAGATCACATCGCAGGGACGAATTAATTAACACTCGGCAGTTTTGGATGATGTCCCAGGCTTCTTTTCTATTTTCATTTTAGCAAACTCCCAAGTCTGCTTGGCGCCTGCCAGGTCCCGAGTCTGGTGCTTGGGGGGTGGGAGCATCCATGTAGCTGCCTAAGTTCCTGCAGGTGCTGGGGTGGCATCACAGACACCCCACTGGCTTGATGCCTCCCGGCTCCTCAAAATTTGGGTGCTCCCACTGACCCTGGGGGCCAGTGCAGTCAAAAGCACTTTTCAGGGCCTGATGGAGCCCCTACTTTCCTGCTGCTGGTTTCCTTAAATCTCCATCTTGCCTGCAAGAGGCTCACACACACACCTCGTGCCTGGCTTACAGCCCTGAAAATTATCTGGGACAGGGATTTTTAAATAAAAGTTGTAAACACCCTCAAATAGTACTTTTATTACCCAAAAATGGCGTGGGGATGAAGGACCAGGGCTGTGGGGTGCATGTGGGAGGGGCAGGCCCCAAGTGAAGAAGCCTGGTGGGTGTCAGTGTGTCCAGCTGTGTGTGTGTGTCTGGCTGCGTGTGAGCAGTACACAGAGACAGTGTGTGGGTCTGGGGGAGCTTGCATGGAACAGGTAAGGGCTGCTGTGCTGGGGCAGGGATGTTCCTGCTGGGGCACATGGCACTGCTCAAGCTCAGTCCTCACCCTCATTTCCCGCTGATGAAACCAGCGCTGCTCCCTGTCAGGCCTCCCTGGTGAAAGAAGGGGTGCGGCGGTGAAAACATGCCCATGCCT